TAATGAAAACGATTGAAAAAAGACAAATAACATCAGCTGGTGATCGGGTAAATCGGATCAGCATTTCCGAAAACGCCTATTGTTGTTTTCAAGAACCCGTAGAAATACGACGGAACTCATGCAAAAATTGAACTGCGAATACAGAACAGTAACTAAAGCTCAAACGAACATCACTTTTTAATCCTTACCGCGAGCGATGCGCTACTATTTTAAAACCACTGGTAGTGATACCATCACCGGTCAGGCTGTTTTTGCTGGCTGAATTTTTAATTATTTTCTCATGAAAAATGAAAAAGAACATTCATATATTTTATTTTTAAAAGTTCATTGAAATCACTGGGTACAAAAAAAATGGAACAAAACCAATCACATTCACAAATGACATTACGCTAATTCTTTTAAGCCTAGCTGTGTACTCATAACAGCGAAATTCGCTCTTTTTTGACATTGCTTCAACAATTTGACGTTTTATGCGTGAATCAAACGTCAAACTATTGTCGACGCAATTTCAAAAAAGAGCGTATTTCGCGGTTATGAGATGAGTACGAGGCTTGGTGACTATTTATCGACTGTTAAAATAGGAAAATGGAAGTGACATCACACTACTTGTTGTTTGGAGCTAGTGAATGCAGCCATTCACAAATTTCAGAAAACAGCCGATAACCTGGGCCGCAATCTTTCTAGAGTCACAAGCTCCGGAGTTATTCGGACTAACTCCCAAAAAGAACGCGTTTTTAAGCGCAAGTGCTCCATGTTTGACATTCGTATGTAGTCACAAGGCAAAACCCTGCCGGATTCTATTTTACGAGTCGAGTGAGTTGAGTCGAAATTCGTATCGAATTGTCAAAATAGCGATTCTATTTCCCGATACGTGCCTCATTCTCACTTGTGCGAAATTCAATGTATCAAACGTCAAATTGTTGAAGCAATATCAAAAAAGAGCGAATTTCGCGCAAGTGAGAATGAGGCATTAAACCCTAGTACTCATCAAGGAGAATACACACTCTAAGGAGTGCTTATCAGCCTCGTTTTTGGTAATCGCCGCCATATTGGTTTTCAACCATTGCTAACGTCATAACTAAGTCGTAGGCTGTTTAAACAGCTGAGTCAAGGCGACAAACGCCATGCTGCTTACGTCACAACTGGTTGTTTGGCGGGGAGATTTGTTACACACAGGCCTTATGAGGATAGGCCATCCTGTAGTAGTAGTGTGTATTCCCCTTGAGTACTCATAATCAAGAATAATAAGCCACAAGAGGATAGTAGCTTCTCGTAAGCGCCAATTCTAGCCGACCGCAAATGTCAATGACCGAGCGCGTGACGTACTTCGGCCTACTCAATCCAAAGATTTGGTAATAGAAACATTGCTCTGTAATGAAAATTCGAGAAGTTTAATATAAAATTTGTCGAAATTTAAGAATTAAGTTTTATGCCTCATTGTCACTTGCGCGAAATTCGCTCTTTTTTTGACATTGCTTCGACAATTTGACGTTTTATGCTTGTATCAAACGTCAAATTGTCGTAGCAATGTCAAAAAAGACCGAATTTCGCGCAAGTGAGTATTATGCCTCAATCTCATTTGCGCGAAATTTGCTATTTTTTTGACATTTCTTCGGGAATTTGACGTTTTATGCGTTTATTTATGCCTAGTACTCATAACTGCGAAATTCGCTCTTTTTTGACATTGCTTCGACAATTTGACGTTTAATTGACGCATAAAACGTCATTTTGTCGACGCAATGTCAAAAAAGTGCGAAATTCGCGGTTATGAGTACTAAGCTTTAAGCCTAGTCTCCATGGACGCGAAATCGCGAATTTTTTTTTGCGGATATTTTCCGATTGGTTGGAATTTGACATTTAACATTTGATTTTTTTATGGCGGGAAAAATTCGCGAATTTTTTAACTTCTTGCGGCGTCGCAGAAAAGTTAACTATTTTTTAACTTTCCGCGAAATTTCGCCAAAAAAAAAAGAGGTTATGTGGTGTTACTTTCAGTTTAGTTTTGTTTATGTTTTTGTCGGTATGTGCTCTGTTCTGTGCTCTGTCCTCTGTGAGTCGTTGATGTGTTTTGTACTTGTAGATACCTAATAAAAAATGGATACTGCCAAAGAATTGAATATTGTAGACCCGAAAACAGACATAAATTACAGCTTGCTGGTTGATGAGGAAGATTATAATAGGGCCTTAAATGTAATTAAGACAACACCAAGACACATATTATCTTTTTTTGTTTTTTAGTAATCACTTTCATGGTTTTCAAAGATTAGTGTTTGAAATTCAAAGCATTTAAATCGAATTCAAATTGATTACAAACAACAACACATAGGTAACCTTAACCTGTTAAATAAAACGCGAATTTCGCGCTTATGGAGACATGGGAATAATTTGCTCGGAAATAGCCACCAAAAAATGACACTTAAAAAATTCGCTTTCCGCGATTTCGCGTCTATGGAGACTAGGCTTTAAACGTCAAATTGTCGAAGCAATAGCTGCTTTTTTTCTGCACACCGTCTTATCTTAGCTAACTTTGAAAATCTTAGCTGAGCTAAGTTGTAGTTCAAACGTACAAATTAGATGGACGCAGGATCTAACCTTAAATAAACATAACGTCAGGTAAGAAATTGAACTAAGGATGGAATCCGGCATCCTTGGCGTAGGCAAGGGGGAGGTAATTTCGACTGACATAAACTTACCTAAGATGTTAGAAAAAACGGTTCTTTATTTCAGAACAACTTAGGTTAGCTAAGATAGGTGTTAGAAAAAAAGCAGCTAATGTCAAAAAAGAGCGAATTTCGCACAAGCTTTATGCCTCATTCTCACTTGCGCGAAATTCGCTCCTTTTTGACATTGTTTTGACAATTTGACGTTTGATACACGCATAAAGCTTAATTTCCACTTGCGCGAAATTCGCTGTTTTCTGACATTGCGTCAACAATTTAACGTTTGATACACGCAACGTCAAATTGTCGAAACAATGGGTACATTCAGGCGGTCCCAGCGGCTAAGCTCAGCCACTCAGCAGGGACTTTATTCTTGAAACCAAGGAACAGCGTTCTCAAAGAACGATTGCTCTGTCATTGTCAGTGTTATGCCGGACGACAAAGACAGAACCTTCGTTCCAATGAGAACGTTGCTCCCCTGTTTCGAGAATAAAGTTCCTGATGAGTGGCTGAACTAAAGGCGTTTTCTCGCGGTGCGAATGGTTCGAACTACGGTTTAAACCAATTTTTTGATGACGTCATCACTTGTGAACGCGAGAAAATAAAAGGTTTGAACCACAGTCTTATGACAACGGAGAACAAGCCATGAGTCCGGTTCGAACTTTTTTGAACCAGGTTCAATGTGACGTCACTGGTTCAACGCAAGAATGTACAGGTTCGAACCTAATTGAACCGGGTCGAACCAATTCCACCGCGAGAAAACAGCTTAAGCCGCTGGCACCGCCTGAATGTACCCATTGTCAAAAAAAAAGCGAATTTCGCGCAAGTGAGAATGAAGCTTAAAACGTCAAATTGTCGAAGTAATGTAAAAAAAAGCGAATTTCGCGCAAAAACTGCAAATTTCGCTTTTTTTGACATGCTTCGACAATTTGGCGTTTTATGTGTGTATCAAATTGTTGAAGCAATGTCAAAAAAGAGCGAATTTCGCGCAAGTGAGAATGAGGATAATGCCTCATTTGATGTCGTATTCGATATCGAGTGTCATGACAGACTCGACTGTGCTACTTGAATCATTCCCAGCCTTCGTCAGACACGAGGTCTGTTCCAAAACGTGAAAAACCGACCCATGAACGGTTTCCAATCCACTCTAACGTCTATTCTCACAAGAGTCTGTGAGAGTCTGCAAACTGTCACAAAGCATCGCCTATACAGGCGATTTTCAGCCTGGAATGATTATTATTTGGTTATAACCAATGCATTTCCGCCGTCGCGGTTTTAACCAAAGTAGGGGAAGTTGTGATGTCACATATGAGCTGATTTGCTTTTGGTATTTACCACTTATAACCGATTATAACCCAGCTTTGGACTTGGGTTAATCTTTTGGTTACAGCTTTTTGATGTTATTGTTATTATTTTGGGAATTGGTATTGGTGTTTTGTGATTTTGCAGTTGTGTTGTGGCTTGGCACAATGGAAGAAGTATACGCTCACTCACTCACTGCAATTCACCATGTTTAGATCGAGGTTTAGATCATCCCCAAAGAAAATCTGTTCGATAAACGAGACTAACGAGAGATTCCGCTCCATTTTTTGTACCTAAACAACAAACCATTGTTGAAACGAAAAAACAAATAGGAATAATAAACAATAAACATAATCCTACACTGCTATAACCAAATCATTTCAGCGATCAGTTCCTTGGGTTATGATTCTTGAGTGGTGGGGGGCTGTGACGTCACACTTGGCTGTCAAAGTTGTCAACAAAAAGAATAACCACGGTATTTACCGATAAATAATCATTCCAGGCTGAAAATCGCCTTAATGTTTCCAATGCCGTCGTTCCAAGATAAATCGGTAACTTGGCTGAGCGCTTCTTTCTGGCAGTTTGCAACCGTCAGAGACTCTGGTGGGAACAGACCTTCTATAGGAATTTCTCATTCTAGGCAGAAATTTTAGGTTTTGCGCAGCAAGTGACGGTACACGGTGCAGTTTCCTACTTTGTTGCAACAAAGCTATAGTTTACAGAGTTGTTTTCTCGCGTTTACTTTTTTGAAAATGGTTAAAAAAAGGTGGTTTAAAATAGTATATTTTCGCGATGAACCCATGACGGCACACAAAATTGGTTCAAACCGTTTTGAAATACAATCCAATTCATGTTTTCAAAACTTTTTCTCGCGCCGGGAGTTATGAAGTCCTTTTGAAACCGTTTTAAACCAGTTTTGAAAAATGTTTCAAAATTTTGAGACGCGAGAAAACACCTATGGCCCCTATGCTTCGCTGATTCGATTAACCCGATCATTCGCTCACCGCTGTTTTTCATTTCTCATCTTTCTTGCACGGACAGGATTGAAAAAAGGCAAATTACATCAGCTGGTAGGCTTTTTTTCTCGCGGGTTGCACATTGCTTGACATTGACAGCATTTTGCCATTCTACAAATAAAAAAAAATTGTAAAATAAAAAATAAGTGATTAGCACGGAAAATCCAAAAACTGGTTAAGCTGTTTGATGAAGTCTTCTTTGTTGGAGAATTTATCATCAACAAGCTCACTTATCACAAAGAACTCGGTCATTCAGTTCAAAAGAAAACAGCCTTCTTAATTTTTAGATCAATTCTGTGATTTTATTTGAATGAACAGTTAATTTGAACCGTATTGATTAATAACTAATCAACTAAACTTTTTTTTTGTGTTTTGGGCAGGATGGCTGCAAGAAATAATCCTGGTTTAACGGGTAGTGGCAGTAGACAGGATGACCACAGTGTTGAGGTAAGCCATAGTCCAGAATTAGATTTATGTCCAAAGAAAATTATTTTTTTTAAACAAAGATTTGCCAAATAATAATGATAATGGTTTATTTGGAAATAACCAATAGGTACCTAGATACTCCAACAAATTTGGCTTGGCATACAAAAAAATTTAAATTCAAGACATTAATTGCTTACTTGTAGTAAGGCTTTCCCTATTACTCAAATGAACAGAAGAGAACATTAATTTGATGCCTTTAATAAATAAATTCTTAATCATTTTTTTGTTTCATTTAAAGACCCAGTTTTTAGGTAGTACGTTATAGAATGTCAATAATCCCTTGTCGAACAAACCAAAGGAGTTTGAATGATTTTGTTATCATAATGTATGAAAATTGTAGTGATTTCACTGATTTCTGGTATGACAACTGTGGATTTCATTATTTCTTTTTAATAATCTTGTAAATATGGAGGTTGAAGTTCATAATATTTAATAGATAAAGCTGATATGTGAAACTATAATTAACAATAACCGCATTTGAAGATATCAGCATATTTTTAATTGGTTCATATTGATTGCTATTCAAGTTGGTTCCTCAGTTTTATTCTCATTGCTCTATTTTGATTTTTGAAGCACTTGTAATTTGTCTATATATGTCTTATTTCCTAATTAAAGGAAGGATCCACAGTAGACAAAATGTGGTTTTATTATACTAGGTATTGAAACCAAGACATTTTATTTTGTCCACAAATTCAGTATGGGCCATATTTTTGTTATTCATTTGAATTCCAAAATAATTACAAAAATCTGTTTTTGTTTTACCAATTATCAAACACTTTGACTAAGTCAGGTTAAGCTTTAATTTATTGACAGACAACCAAGCATAAACTGACTAGGTACTGACTTTAGTTCTCCATTAAGAGCTTGTGAAAGACTTGACAGTAGTCGAGTAAATAGTTTTAAAAATCATGGTATTTAATACCATGAACTAACATTTTATTTTTATCTTAGACCCTTACTGATGTATTCCGTTGCTTCATATGCATAGAGAAGCTCAGAGACGCACACCTATGCCCACATTGCTCGAAACTGTGTTGCTATCCCTGTATAAGGAGATGGCTGACAGAACAAAAGTCACAATGTCCCCACTGCAGGGCCTCGTTACATCTACATGAACTAGTTAATTGTCGTTGGGTTGAAGAAGTGACCCAGCAATTGGATTCTTTGCAGGCGGGAAGTCTTCGCAATAAACTGGACGAAAATGATCGGGACAGATGCACAACTCATTTTGAAAAATTGTCTGTTTATTGTTTGACTTGTCGTTGTTGCATTTGCCATCAATGTGCTTTGTGGGGAGGTACTCATTCAGGTCATACTTTTAAGCCATTGGATGAAATTTATGATCAACATGTCAATCAGATAAATGATGAGGTAGCACAATTGCGTAAGAGGTTGATGGAGCTTATTAGTATTGTGCAAGAAGTAGTGAGTTTATTTTATTTTTATTATTAACATAAGTCTTTGTAGTTATATATTGAATATTGAACCTCAACTTTTATAAGCTAGTCTTCTACTTTTTTGTTTTCACTCTCAATTTTTTTTTCTTTTTGGAGAAATACCTACCTGGAAATATCTTCATGGGATTTTTTTATTGATGAATATTTGCTTTTGAATAGGAACGTAATGTAGAATCTGTAAGATCTGCGAAAGATGACCGTGTCAGGGAAATCAAAAACGCTGTTGAGCTTATGATAGCTCGACTTGATTCTCAGTTAAAAACCAAACTGCTTACTTTAATGGGGCAAAAAGATACTCTTACTCAGGTAAATGTATTATTTCAATGTATAGATTTCATTCTAAAATGCCTATTTATTTAGGAAACTGAACAATTAGAGCAGTTGCTTCATGAAATCGAAAATCAATTACATGTGTCCTCTAGATCTGATCTGATTACTAAAAGCGCTGAGGTATCCAGAATGATACATAATGTTCGTAAAAAACCAATGACTAGTTTTGTGACTGCTCCAGTTCCGGCTGACTTTCACAGGTAATTTTCAATTCATGTTGATTTCTTGTCCTGTCACAATGGATTTCATGTGTGTCATAGGACTCAATTTTCACTTGGTGACGTTTTGGATTTAAATTGGTACTTTTTCAATCCCAGGAAGGTACAAAAAAACTATTACATGGATCTTGAAAAATATAACTTAGGAACTAAAATCTGAGACTAAAATCTTATAAAAAATGGCGACTAAAAACAAAACAACATTTATGGTGGAATTGCAAACAATTAGGTACTTACTGGTAATAAAGAATGCTTGCATGCATTTAATTAGATAAAACACTCGATAAAACATGATACAATTAAATTTTTTCCTTATTATTATTTTTTAAGTGGGTATATTTTGATGACAACAATCAACAATGATAATAATTTTGAGTTTGTGGTTAAGCAACAATTTGTAGCAATTTCTTAAAGCTAATGAAAGATTCGAGTGCGAACACATTTTAGGAATATTAGTGTGACCAGATAAACTGACTCCCCTGTCATATAACAGACTGAATACTTTCATTGTGCTCAAAGTGGTGGCCTTCATAAAGTTTTAGGGGCTTATTTATAAACCGCACTAAGTCCATGGGTATCTGTTCTGAAATTAACACAATAAATTAAGGTTTTTGTGAATCATTTCGCTAATTAACTTTTTTGTGTAATTTGCTTCAGTGTCGAAAATTTGTGGTGCTTAGCCAATACTTTCAAGTTCTATTTTATAGTTTGTACCTTTCGGGGTTTAAAAAAGTACCAATTAGAGTATGAAACGTCACCAAGTGAAAATTGAGTTTTTTTGCCTGAGTCCTATAACCCACACCAAATCCATAAGTTGTAATTTTTAATATTAATATCTGATTGATAACAGATAATTTGTATATACAGTGTGGTTATTTATTTAAGTGTGCATCATATGTGGATTTTTTTTAGTAATAGCAGAACCCAAATACAAACAAGGTCAAAAGTTGGTGCATGTCTGATAATCATATTAGGTGCACTTAGAATGGTTGCAAGTCAAACAGCATACAGGGTAGCTCAAACAATATCAAAATTGTACTGTAAAGTATCCTTATTTTGGAAAGTTCAGCAAAATGTTATTGAGAAAAGTTGTTTGGAATTAAAAGTTATGCCTAAATACCAAAACATGGCCTAATAATTTCTATATTTTTTTTATTTTTTATTTCCGCCCTTAATACGATCAAAAATTAATTATAATCAAATCAATTTCACATAACTTTCTTCAAATTCAAGCATATTTGTAAAATTACCTTAGATTTTCAATTTTTTATGGAATTACGAAGGTGATGTTTGTTGCAATGATATTCAACACAACTTTAAAATGTCGCAATTTTTTTTTACAAGTTAAAGCATTACTAATGATAATATGCATATTAAAATACTCTCTTTGAGGTGCAAAAGTTTTATTTATCATTTTGCTGAATTTTCTGAAATAAGGGTACTTTACAGTACAATTTTGATATTTTTTGAGCTACCGTGTATGCTGTTTGACTTGCAGCCATTCTAAGTGCACCTAATATGATTATCAGACATGCACCAACTTTTTGCGCTATTACTAAAAAAAAATCCCATATATTGCACACTCAAATAACGACACTGTATATGCTGCATATTTAATTTATAATACTCATATTTCAGTGAAATTGTCCCAGCATATTCTAGCAGTCAATTCGTTATGCACGGTTTTACCCAGCTTCAAAGTAAAGCTGATCCAGTATATTCCACCCCCTTACATTGCAATGGTCTTTGTTGGCGTTTAAAAGTATATCCTGACGGAAATGGCGTGGTTCGTGGTAATTATTTGTCAGTTTTTCTGGAACTCAGTGCTGGATATCCAGAGGCTTCAAAGTATGAATATCGAGTTGAAATGATTCACCAGGCTGGTAAAGATTCTGAAAAAAACATCGTCAGAGAATTTGCTTCTGTTTTTGATGTTGGTGAATGTTGGGGATACAATCGATTTTTCAGTTTAGATTTGTTGGCTAGTGAAGGATATTTGAATGTTCCAATGGATACTTTAATTCTGAGGTAAGAAAACATTAATTTTTGTTTCTCTAGTAATTCACACAGTAAACTTAGTAGGGAACATAGAATAACGAACAAGTTAATTTTGATGGACAATTTATTTTATTTTTACCTATAAGTACATACCTATAAAATTAAATTATTGTCCAAAAGTTTATATAAATAAAGAGATTATTTCTGATTGAAAAAGTGCATATCGTTATGAATCATATTGAGGGCCTCAAGTCAGAGCGGCGTAAGAACCATTTAGTAAATTTTACAGGAAACAGGAAACGTTAAAAACTTCCCAAAATTCGATCCGATACTAATCACATTTTTGGCGTCTACGCCTTACATAATTTCAATCCTACGTGATATCGTCTCGTTTAAATCATACGCCCTTCTGACCCAACGTGCTAAGTACTGAATAGAACCTATTGCGCCCATTATCTCAATTTTGCAAAAAATGGTTTATACGCCCCTCTGACTTGATGCCCTCGATATGGAGTTCGATGTTGCCAAATTTACGTTTTCCACAAATTGGGGGAATTGTCCACAATGTTGCAACACTGATAAGGGGGATCCTCTGGATTTACCCCCCAAATACGAAGTCACAAGTCTCTAATTGGGTACTGCTCTGCTACCATTTTGTATTTTTTAAATCACTTTGTTTCAATTGAATTTAATTAATTTTAATCGGTAGCATTTTTGATTAATCTGTGTCTTTCTTTAGGTTTCAAGTAAGAGCCCCAACATTTTACCAACGATGTAGAGATCAACAATGGTACATTAATCAACTACAAACTGTTCACAATCAATACATTTCTCAAATAAATGAATCTAAAGAGGTAACAATTTGAATAAAATACATATTCTCAAAAGTCAAAAACAATATTTGCAGCTCCTGGCTGCAGAAATTTCAAAGAATGCTGTCGCCGCGGCAACATTAAACGCCAATACTCAAGATATGAATGAGGTTTTAGCTAAAAACAAATTACCACCGTTCACATTAGGGCATCAACCTTTAAATCCTTTTATAACAGAAAATGGAATTAATCCGATTCCTTCTACTTCTCGTGACACAGGCTATAAGGGTGCTCTAGAGAGTTTGTCGATGAGTCTTAACTCTGCCCTTGCAGCCAGGTAAGATTACCTTTAAGCAAAAAAATTATTTTTAATAACTTTCCTGTGTTAGTGATCTTCAACCTCTTGGAACCTTGAGCAATCCCAATACTACTTTGATGCAAGTGAATAGTAAGAATTCCGATAATCCTCTTGATACACCTGAACAGCTTTTGGATTTGGGTGTTTCATCAGGTTCGCCCAATTTATTGAATTCTGGTTTATCCATGCGATATCCCAGTGATAGCAGCGAAAGCGTAAGTCAATAATAATAATTTGAATGGGTTTTAAAAAAATATTAATTGCAAAAAAGAAAAAAATGCCAGTTGGAAAATTGATTTTTACATAATAAATCTAGTTTTTTAATTAGGTAACCGATTTCTGGATTGATTGATTTTATGTATAACCAATAAGATTTTACAATTAATCAATTTTTCATTTCATTTTAAATGTTACTTGCGGCCTCTTGATTTTGAAATTTGTAGGATCCAAGTATCAGTGCTCTTTTTAATTTGATTACCTGCCCAAATTTTATTCGAAGTATCGCACTGAAATTGAAACATGAAATAAAACAAAATGTTGTCAATTTATTCTAAATTCATTGAAGAATATCGGAATTTTTTTTGGCATTCTTTCATATCAGTTTTCAAATAGGTTTTCCCTCATTCTTCACTATCGTTTCAATAATCAAGTTCACAAGTTTTTAACGAGGTTTTGAATGAAAATCCCATTTTCTTGTAAAACCTTCAAAATCTAAAAATGTTGTTTCTCTAGGACAACGAACTACTAGATCCCTTTCAAGGAATTTTAAGCTCTCCAGATACAAATCTCCTCAGTACCGAAGATAATTCAAATGATGAAAACGATGTGGATATCGAGACCATGTCAGGTATGTTAGATTCTTGTTGTCTATAAGTGCCATATGTGATTCATTATTGCTAACATACTTTACTGTAATTTTATGGCTTTAAATCAATTTTTAGATGAAAATAAGGCCCCTCTCTTGAGTGCAATCATTAGAGCAGCTTTTTCAAACAGAAATCTGTTTTTTTTTTTAGGAGAAAACGACGTTGAATATGCCGAATTCTCAATGGCTCAAGGTCTGATGCTTAGAGACGCTAATAATTCAGCAGCCAGCAGTGTAGCTGGGGCGACTGCGCTTTCTCCTGTAGATCAGCTAACATGTGATGTTCAAGATAAATTGAAATTATTATTTGAAGATGCTTCTAATATCAATCTGAGTGCAAATGGTGCGAATAAAAGTAAGAACTTCAGTCATACCAGTTTACTCTATAAAAAGTGAGGCACGTATCAGAATTTTGAGATTTTATCAGTTTCAAACAAGTAGAACTGAAAAAAAAATACGAAAGTTACACATGTACATCTATCACAATGACTTTACGCAGTCATGTGTGTTACTCAGTTCAATAAAAGTTGTTTCTTGTGAAGAGCGTTCTAGGGTAACTACAAGCGGCATTCAATATTCTCTTAAAATGTTCAATTTATATCTCAATGAATTATGAACATATCACTGTAATTAATAAATTCATTTATCTTACACTCTTGACGAAATTAGGAGCTTATCTACCTATAATTTGTACCAAAAATTCAATTTGTTACTTGATATGGAGCTAAATGTAGGTATGTATTTACTGAATTTGAATTAAATTCCAACTTCCAAAATAAAAATGCAATATAATATGTTGATTTGTAAACAAAAACTAATTGAAGCTAACTGTTTGTATATATTTTTTAGATACAATACCTTCAAATTCTACAGCTCTACTCAATATGACTGCTTCAAATCTTGATCTAGCCCTATTAGGATCCTTGAGAAAAAATGAAGGTTAGTGTAGTGACTTTTTCTTAGCATACCTTCATTTTAGTTATTTTTTTACAATGCTGGGTGAGCTTTGCTATCCAAAACGTTGCACCTGGAGGGGCTCCGCATAGCAAATTTTAAGCCAAGATATTATGATGGTGACAAAAAAATAAATAAACAGGAAATTCTGTGGGCGAGGAATTTTTGCTGAGCGTAGCCTCCTAATGAATTACTTTTCTAAATTGCTTTTTTTACATTCAATTTAGATCAGCTTCGATCCACCAACGACAAAAAGAAGCTGAAAAATAGGTTTCGACCCATTTCTGACGCCTCTCTACCCTCTGAATCTTGGACTGAGACTGTACCTATAAATACTAAGGTATGAATGGTATTATTTTTCTACTTGAATAAAGGAATATATAAACAATCCAGGAATCAGTGATGGGTCCATTAGAATTATTTCTCCGTTCCATAAACTGTTATCCAGAACATGGACAGTGCCGAAAAACTGATTGCCATCAAAAGGACAGACGAAAATACCTTAGCAAGTCGAGTCATCCAGTACCATTGGAGCAACAGATTCCACCTCCTGCTCCTCCTCCTCCTCCCCCAATGGATGAGAGGGAAATTAATGGCCAAGTCTTAAATTCAGGTAATTTTATTGAATTTATTGAATACTGAACATTGAATCTATTATAAAGGGGTCAGACACAACGTTTAAAGGTTATAAATGCCAGTTAAATCCTAATTCTGAGAAAAAAGGGCAATCAAGAACACTCTGCAATTAAAAATAAATTAAAATAATGCTGATTTGACAATGGTGAAAGCCTACATTATGGCTCACCCCTCAAGAAACTCGTACCCACTTCCACTATAGGGTTCTTACAGAAGGTACAATACATAAACTGATACCTAGAACTGTGCGCATTATTCAACTTGAAGTGAAAACTCTCACAGGGGGGTGGGGGGGGGGGGGGGGTTAAAACCCCCCCACTTGATCAGAAATATATTTAAAAACCATTTCTGAAAATTATTAGAAATTAAAAATGTGAAGTCACGAAGGACATATCTATTGGGACATTACTAAAAATTCTAGAAATTCACCTTACGAAACCTATGTTTTAGCACATACATACTTTTTTACCCTCAAAATTTCATTCTTTTCATATAAAGCATTTGACCTTGAAATTCTACAAAATTTTCGCCTACGAAACCCCCCCCCCCCTCATCTGAATTCTCTGGCTACGCGCCTGCTGTCACAGAAACCACCTGAATGAAGGTGATAAACAACACGTTTTCATTGAGATCAATACCCAGCTTTTCTGAGAACTCTGTATTTTTAATTGACATATCAGAGCAAATAGAAGCTGGAACTGTATTTAATAGTCAGTGGTTCACTTCGGAGGGTTTCTCGAAAAACTCTCTTTACCTTGCCTACTTACTCTCCATCCCTGTATATGATATAAATACGAATCGTTTTAAAATGGTAAAAAGTCAGACATATTGGCTAAAGTCCATTTAAAATAATATATCGTGCAGAGAGTTTCAAAGGAAATTGATGTCAAACTTAGTGGAAATTTTGTCGGTTTCCCCAATTTTCCCAATGTGTGTTTTTCAAAAATATGAAAATTGAATTTTTTGTTAAGACCATTTTTTTTTTTAGAATTCAGTTGGACACCATCACTTTTGAATCAAAGACGACCCAAACCTGCAAAAACTGAGAATCGTCCAGTTCCGGAGAAGGAAGATAGGAAAAATAAAAAGTAATTAATTCGGGGAGATAAAAGCTGTTGCAAAGTAACTTTACACAAATCTGATTGAAATAAAAAATACTTTTTTTTGAATTCCTATACTAGAGTGTACACATTCAAGCCCTTAGACTTGTCAGAGAGAGCCCGAGTTTCTGTAAAAAACTTTCTCGGATTTTTTCTGGCAAGTTTATAAAGATTGCGAAATTCATATCCACAAAGCAATTATTACATTAGAAACTAAAAGTATTTGTGTTTTTTTTTCTAGGTCAGACCATGACTCGCATTCAATATAATTCTACCAGTGATGTAATACTCAGAACTCGACATAATGTCATATTCATAGTTTAAATTTATAGCTAACTTATTCAATTTTATATGACCTCATTCACTAATTTTTGAAATTGTCTTAATTGCGACTAGAAATAAAATTTTCCGCACCCTTACTTTTGGAACACTTAAGAGTCCTTTTTCAAAATTAAAAAAAAAAAACTAAAAAAAACACACACTTTATGTTAGATATTTTTTTTTTTTTGGTAAACATACTTAAAATAGACGTTCGTTTAAGATTGTATGCTTGAATTACATATTTGAATTTTAGTGAGAGAGCCCATCGAAAACATTTTTCATTCCAGGAAAGTTGAAATGATTGGTAATTTAGGCTGTGTAATTGGTTGATTCGATTAACTTAAAATTAATTAATCTCATTAATATTATTGCAAATAAAAAATTATAGTTAAAATTGTAAGTGTTTTGTTTTCATTTCATCAAAGCCATAGATGACGCAAACATTCAAATGTAATTATATGTATCTTAACATGCATTATATAGGTACTTAAGTTCACTTCTAAAAAGTTTGTTCAATAAGCATGATAATCCATACTCTGTCTTACTGCCATACAGTCCACTTCATCGATTTTCAAAGAGTTTGTTTTCACATTCATGTCTTGCTCCAATTGAATTTTAATTTTCATAAGGTACCGAAGTGATGAGTGAGCCTACAAATTAAATGATAACATGTTTAAGAAATACGCTTAAAACAGTTTTTGGCAAATGCTGAGATCGACTATTAATGATTTACAGCAATTTTTTGTGTATCTACCTATTATTATAAAAAATTAAAGAATGATATTTTTAATCTGCATTCTTTGGAATAAACTTTTTGATTCCATAGCCATCCCTTCTGTCTTTGTATATTGCAGAGAACTTGCTTAATGAACTTGCCATGATGGAACTCAGGACTTGGGTATTGATTGTGAAATTCAAATCGATATTTTTAAAGGGATTGCAAGATCTACCCAATCTAGCTGCCCTAAAAATTCCTCGATGGATATCTTCAGAAACTTGATAACAATTTGATGACTGATGCGATGAATCTGGGTCCTCATTCCCAGAAGAACGAATGTTTCGGCTTTCTCAATGATTTGCAAATGATAATAGAAGAGGTAACAAAGACAGAACACTCGTTCTCCTGGGAGCGCTGCTCCCCTGTTTCAAGAATGACCCTGGTAGGTATGTATTATACACAGGAGTCAATTCGATGTCGCTACTGTTTGAATAACACCACTGAAAATTCTGGAAGGTCTCTAATAAATGGTAATAATCTGAAAAAATTGTTTACTTCTCTGAATAGATTGGATACCTGACTAAATCCTGTATTGTCACTTGTCAGAATAAAAATATTTACCTCTGCCAATACTGCCCGCATTGTAGCAAAATTCCTTTTTAAATCAGTTTCCTCATGTACCAATACAGCTTCCACTAAATCTTTGCAAAGTTCCATTCCAGGCCTTCGGGAACGGTTATCTAGTCTATTGTGACTCAAAGTCAGGAAACTTTGTTTTTCTGCCAGCGTCTTATCCAAATCCGCTATGGTTCTTATCAGTTCGTTAGCTTGTCGAACAATCTTAATGAATCCTTTCATTATTATATTAAGTATAAGAATTACTTTTACCTTTACCTGTCCATGTTGAATTTCTATTTCGCTCTTAACATCTCTCACTTCTTGAATTCTTAGTTTGAAAGCGTTATTTACGACATAATACTGATTCCAAAGTTCATTAATGGCTTTTCGAATTACAATGTCGGTATAGCTTCGAAATTGTCGACCGGAATTTATTTCTTTTGCTGCATTTTCTATATTGTTTCTAGTGTATTCATTCCATTCTTCAGGCGTTGCATTTCTAATTGAAATAAGGAAGAAAATTATTAAGTTGGCAATAATTCACTTATCAATCAGTAGCTATTCTAACACTTGGAATATTTACCCTTTACTTATTAAATGAAATGTTGGATACTTGTGAAGATCGAGATTGGTTTCTTTAAGGATACTATTTTTATAATCAATCCTAGCTACTTTGAATTTATCTTCCAAATCTCGATCAATAAAGTACATGGCCGATTTAAGCTTTCGAACGTTCTCGTTAGCATCCACGAGAGCTTTTTGAAGCGTTTTTTCAGTATTTTCAATTATCTTTAGTTCATTTTTCAGTTCTTGATCTACTTGATCGTGGACCTGAAAATAATTTGCCAAGAACTAGTTTTTGGAATATACTGAAATTGGTACCTACCAAGTCAATTCCAATTCGTCCATCTCTAAGTACAATGCATTTTTGACAAATTACTCTTGCATTATTTTCCAAAGCCTCCAAACAATCCTTGATTCTTTCCATGTAAAGTTTCAAGTTATCTATTTCAGTGCAAATTTCTTTTCTCTGTAGTTTTATTTCAGCGGTATTGAATTCGATGTCCTCTTGACGGTTTTTAATTTGTCTGTCGGTTTCTTTTTTGTTCAAATCGATTTTTTCCTGGGCATCGTCTTTCACCTGAAATTTATCAAATAAATTTATTCCAGGAACAATAGAATAGCGATCAAAATCCTACAACTTAAGAACTCAAAAATCCAGAGCAACCACACCAACAGTTCAAAAATGAGATGCTAATGAGGAGGGGCAGCTTAATATTAACCTTCCTTGATCCGAAACAGAAATTTCTTGATAACTGTAAAAATGTAGGGTCGTATGTTGGTCATGGTAATGCGGTATTTCGTAGACAAAGCTTCAGAACTTTAATCAGAAAAAAGGGTTTCCTGAGATTTGACAACCTGGGACACTTGTCAATTTTTCAAAATTATGACCTCGTAATCCAAATCACCAGAGCCGTTTTCTCGCGTCCACTTTTTTGACATTGGTTCAAATCAGGTTTGAAACGGGCATGGTGTTACCATTGCCCGTTCCAAAACTGTTTCGAAAAAAGTGGACGTGAGAAAACCGCTCTGATTTTGGTCAAAAATTACACGAGCCATCAAAAATATTTTTACTGCAAATTTTTTGTCGCAAAAAATTAGAACATCAAAGTATCTTCTTAATAATTAAGGTGTTTAAGAAAATTTGGTCTGTGTGCTCACACAACTACCTACTTACATAGTAGCTCACCCAAAGTTGTCGAAGTGGCTACTCGTGATAGTAGTCCGTCCTCCGATTTCAGTCTCCAACTGCAAAAAAAGTTTCGATACATACCATAAAATCCGGAATTGACCCGAATATCGGCGCTCCTATTCAAAACTGTATCAAACTACAGAATAAATAATAAAAATCCTAGGCTCAACGAGATCAAAACCATTAAAGCCTAAAACTCTCAAATCCAAGACCTAATTTAACAAGGTGTGCAATTTATTCAAAAAGGCCAAAGCTTCGAAGCTGAGTTTCAAACACAAATGCACATTTCATGCACCCAAAATGAGCCACATATTCCCAAGCCTGAAAACTGCTAAAAAATTCAAATCCCCATGAAAGTGGATACCAAATAAGACTCTCTGGAACAGGTCGGTGTGTCGGCCCCAATAGACCCATTTTCAAACCTGACTGAAAGCAGAAAATAGAAGACACACGTCCAAGAACGTGCATGTCAATCCCAAAACCACCAAAACACCAACCTCAATAATTAACCATAATCCTCCAGGAAGTCCTAAATCTCAGGACCCCCTAGAAACTCGATACAAACTGGCTTCAGCGGTAAAAAATCGTCCTAAGAAACGGCAAAACCCCGAAACTCCTTGACGCTATAAAATTGCTGAAATGAAATACAATAAAGCGTCGTCAAAAACTGCCACCCTTGCGGGCTCCCCATCATCCTCCTAAATTCTCCAGACGATCAACGAAAATCTCCAAATATCTCAAACATATTTGGAAAGAATTTGCAATGTTAGTCAAGACATACGTTTTTTGTGACAATTACCGTCGGCAATTCCCTTTCGAACCGCCACGCCAATCCAAAATGTCACAAATAGTCTAAGAGCCCGTGAGACAAAAGCCTCAGTCATCTGTCAGAAGGACGTTTTTTGGTGGCCCGGTATGCCAAGTCCTCGGCCAACCAAAAAACGTATTGGTTGGCGGGTTTCGGTGTGCAAAAGCTGAGGGGTGGATGAATTTTCACTACCCCAAAATAAGGCTATCTGCCTCATGGGTCAGAAGCTTCTTTCTTATTGTGAGTAAGTAATATGGACCTACTGGGGCAGGAACAGGAATGGTTGGCGGGCCTTCCCCCTCTCTTCACAATGCCCACCGCGTTTAAAGTAAGGTTCGCAAGAGAAAGGTCCTACCTCACAAGTCAGAAAGACGAGAAAAAGTGGGAATTATACATTCCTACTGCCTCGTCCGTTCTGAGCTGGGTTGGCAGCCGGCTGTTGCTTTATTGTTTATTTAAACATATGTTTTTACGAAATTGAAGTTGTTTTTTCCCTGTACGCCATTGGATTCTGCTTGAAAAAGTACCTCTAGAAATTAAATTCCCACATAAATCAATTATTTTCATAAATTCGCTTCTAGACACAGCTAGAATATGCAATACGTAAATTCAGTGGATTGTACACTCAACTAACTCAACACATGCATTTTCCCTATGGAAAATATTCTGATTAGATTTGTCACACTGCCAAGAAGATAGGCTTTGGGAATTGCGATACGCCATTTGAAAAAGACAGAGAGTAATAAATCATTTTTGAAGGCTTCTTTCATAGGCGTGCAGTGAATATTTATTCGAAAATAATATTAATTTCTTTAATTTTCTAGTAAAAAATACGACACAATCCATAACCAGCTAAAATTATAGACCCAGAAATAGGGGCTCATATAATAATTATTCTTTTACCTAGCTACCTGCTGTATAATAATTGTAGTCTCAGTATGTTATCTAAGCATCAATTTAAAACTTATTTTAGAGTTGTCACTTTGCGTCGTCCTATCATTATATCAACATACCGGGTGTCAACGGAATCGCTTTCGCTCTGGTATTTTCTTATTTCTTTTCCGATCGAAATGAATTTCGGTGTAGAGTTTATTAGGTTTGGCAAATGAAATGACATCTTTTGACGTATGTGTAAAAGTCTAGCAACTTCCGGTTTTACCGGAAGTGACTATAGCTTCATAAATCTAAATGGCAACCTAATAATATGTATTTTTTTAGTAGTTTTGACATCTTCCAGCTTCGGATCATTCTGCATATATGGAAATATCAAATTTAAAGCTGTTTGACGAAGTTTGAAAATTTTGAAACGAAATTTGTTTTTAAGTTTAGACTACCAGGCTTTGCCTGAAACTTTCTAATTTCGCACACATAACTGTAGAAAAATGGACATTCGTTGTTTTCACTTATAATTTGTCTACAAAATGTTCCCAAAGTATCGTATTCTATGTGATTACTTAATAAAATTAAATGAAACCACCCGACTTTCACATCTAAAATTGATAACTTGTTTGAAAATAAAGCTAACCATGTATTGAAGTTTTCTAAAAAGACCCATTTTTGAGAAATTTTCTGCAACTTTCAATTAGAAAAGTTAAAAACAAATATCGACAAGCCCCGGTATCGGGAATGGGGAATGGCAAGAGGCTGGTGGCCAATGTTGTCATGAAAGCCCATTGACGGGCAATATATTTTTGTCATTTAGTAGACAATTCTTTGAGATGAAGTTATATTTTTATCTTGCCACATTTCCCCAACTGTATATCCTTCATTTAACCAGATTTCGTCTAGATAAGTAATATATCTTTCTATTTTCACTGCGGGAATTTTCTTATCGATTTTAAGTATTTCCTCCTCCAACAGACAATTTCATTCCTATCAATCAGCAGTGATTTCCTATTTTGTTGTTCCCACTTAAAGCTCATTTCCCGTAGAATTTTCCACAATTTATCTCTTCCAATTTCAAACACATTTTCATCACTTCAAATGTCTCCCAAAACTTCATCCAAGGTCGGATTTCCTTATTTAAGTAAAACGCATGTACTTTCTTACTTATTCCGTTTTTGGACAATTCCTCGACATCGAAAACCACATTAGGTCTTTCTGGAGTTCCTGGAGCCGGTTTCGGTTCATGCAAACAGAGGAAACTGATTTAGAAATGATTTCAGCCATAACAGAAGCGTGTTCTCTGGAAATTCAGGTATTTATCGTACCTAGGAGGCTTCAATTACCCCCATTGGAAAAATTTGAGCTTATTTAAATCAGACAAACGTTTTCGAAATGATCAAAAATTGTTGCTTGATCTCATTTTCTCCACCATGATGCACCAATCTTGTGATCACGGCTAAATCACAGCTCAAATGCAGAGATAAACCAACCCACAAAGTCACCAAAAAAAGTTTTTGGAAAGCAGACTACAATGGAACTAACTTGTTTTTAATCCAACAAGACATTTGCAGAAGTTCTCCAAGTGAACAGAACTACTCCGTGTATAGAACTCAAAACAACCAACTCAAAAAAAAATCCGGGAAGCACGAAGAGACTTTGAAAAAAGGATTGAATTATCAAACGACAACAAACAAGTTTTTGAATACGTAAAACGCACTCTTAATACAGCAGTCTCCATAATTACTTTGAAAGATCCGGAAACAGGAACTCCAATTACGGATAATTACGCGGTAGCAGAAAAATTTGCACAAGTCACTAGAGTTTTCCCAAGAGACAATGATCCAGAGCTTCCTGAATCAACAAAATCCAACAACAGATTAACTTCGATCGTTTTTACCAATGACCAGGTTTCTGATGAAGCCATTAATTGCTTGAAGAAAAACGCCGGCTCCGACCTGATAACATTCCGGTAGTATTTCTCCAAAATTGCACCGAAGCAATAACCAAACCTCTAGCAGACGCCATGAATGAGATGATGGAGAGTGGAAGACTACCAGACATATGGACCCCTGCTATTGTAACCCGCCATGCCTCCTTAAAAATGGTGCCATAACAGATCACCAACATGAATTTCTTCCAGAAAACTCGACCATTACCAACCTTACAACTTGTTTGATCACCTGGACATAAAGCTTTGATAGGAATGAACAAACCGACATGCATTCGACAAAGTGCCATTCAATAAAATGCTTTATAAGATAGACCACTATAGTATTGGTGGTGATCAATTTGGTTGTCTCTCCTTCTTTTTGAAAAAAAGAACTTTTCAAACAAGAATAAATGGAGTACTCTATGACGCACATGAGGCTCTCAGCGCGATAGCCCAAGGTACCTACAGTGCTTGGTCCTCTGCTCTTTCCAGTGTATTCTTGGAATAGGAGAAGAACGCAGAACTACCCCGTAAATCATTTTTGACAAATAGAATTGTCTATCATTGGAATGCAAGCTGAATATTTTGAAAAGCCAAAAAAGAACCACGGAAATTATACAAACAACAGTTTCATCGGTCATGAGCGCCTACTGCCTTACTGTTGTACTTAATAATTATAATAAATTTCCACTTTTCTTCACGTAAAAGTCTAGTAGATTTTCCAATTTCCGTCCTGTTTGAAATCATTTCCACTTAGCTTTCAACAATGCTTCCATATTTTTGAAATCTAACAGCGGTGACCTGTAGGTTTTGCATATTTGATTCGGGTTCTCAAAACACAACTTTGAAAAATTTAATGGATGTCTTTAAAAAAATCTGAAAATGAGCTCAAAACATTATTATATACCTGTTACAAGCTATCAAAAAATAATTGAATATATCAACCTGTGTATAAAATTCTCTTTCAAAAAAGGAACATTTTCTGGATGGGCATGATTCAATCACCAAAATATCCAAAATTTCATAAAATATTGGAGGAGGAACGTTTAGAAAAAACAATTGTTTGAGCTATATGACAAAACATTTATAAATTTTAATGCACCATTCGGGCGAGTCGTGATTTTATATATCGTGGTTTTGTAGAATCGCTCCAGTCTAACTGATTTGCGAATTTTCAAATAAAATAGAGCCACAAATTTCTTGACTTCAAAGCTCTAAGCCCATAATACTACCTACCCTCTCAATTTCACTTGTGATTATTTCTGCGAACTTTTGTTGATCTATGCAGCACTGCTGCCTGTGCCGATTATTCAGTTTCCATTCTCCTACTGTATATCTAAAAAAAAATCATTCTTTTTATACTCAGCACAAAGTTTTGCAATAAATGTATATATAGGTTTAGAATAAAACTTACTTTTGCGGAGGTGGACGGATAGTACCAATTTGCTTAGAGTTTATTTGGTTTTGTTGTGTTTCCTCATTTTGAGAAAACATTACAAAATATATATTTATAAACCTATATAAGCTCTGTCAACTTTTCAGAAATGGATTCAAATGTTGAATCAATGAAAGGTTGATTCTACCATGGAAACACTAAACTTTATTGGATCTCTCATTTCACCCTATTTTATAATCCGATCGTCCTGTATAAGACCCACAGGAATTATCCAGTTCGGTGGTCGTCGGTTTTCGGGGTCGAGCCAAGCCGATTTACAGGTGGTTAAAATGAAACTGGCGAGTGGTTAAACATAGAGTGTAGTTCCTGCGAAGCCCAGCTAAAGAAGTGCAGCCAGTTTATCGATTCGGGAACGCTGACTCTACGACCGAAACGGCATTCAGCGTTATCGTTTCCAGCTGAGTGTCCCCCTAAATAACTTAACCTAGAAACTCTCGATTTTATTTCTAGAGGATTAGTTTCACCCTTAAATTCAACATTTTTGAAAGGTAAGCATTATGCTTTATTTATTTTAGATAAATTTAGAAATTTCAATAGCAAAAATTATTGAAGTTAATGCTTTATTTTGTAGCAGGTATTTGATTTTGTCTTAAAATAATCTTAATCTCATAAGATTTTTTTATACGTACTTTTTTATATTGCTCTTATTTGGCTATTACAGTTGCTCTTTTGTCTGTAATTTAAATTTTTAGGGCCGTTTTAGTCTTTGTTGACATATTGCTAATGTTATTTTGTAGCCAATTAAGTAATCATTTCAAATTATGTAGTTATTTGCAATAAATTTTTCATACTTACCAAATTAATTGTCTTTTAATTTTAGAAAACAAATGATATTGTAACATACTTTTGTCGACATGTTAAAATTATCAAATTTTGATTTTCTGTCTTCATTATTACTAGCTAATTTTTGTCCATTCATTATTTTATATTATCCTTCTAGTGGCTTTGTTTTTGACGAGGTTTCCGATCGATCAAGAATTTTCCAATCATTTTTTTTTTGTCTTTTCATTTTTGCTCCTATTTTCTAATACGTATGGTATTCTCTTTCCATCATTTACTTTGGAGTCCTCTTTATTAATTTTTCAAGCATACATATTTTGTATTATTTATTTTTGTGGGGGGACTATTTGGGATAAATCTGATTTTTTTTCTCAAATACAATCCCGCTTAATTTTTTCCCTTTAAGTACTTATGTAGTTTAATTCGTGTAATCGGTATAAACCCGAACTCACAATATAACTTCTATGTGTATATTGGGTTGCGCCGTGGTTTGGAACAAACAACTAGCACGATGCGTATATTTAATTATTTGTAGGTATTGGCATTAATGATTACTCTTTTTTCCAGATGTGACTTTTGAATCGTTTGATTTGATTCTAAATGCAAAATTCCAGTCCAGATTACGGATCGCACGTACAAATGACCGAGGTCAATTTTGTCGACAAACCCTGGAAGTGTTCGGACACCAAAAATGGATACCTTAAGGTAATAATTTTCAACTTTCAAGTCATCAATAGATGAAAGTGTCTGTCCTTGTTTCTAAACGTTTTGATGACGTTACACATCAGCATTCAACATGATTTATTCAAAAACAAAGTGACGTCTATTTTTGAAAATCAATATACCTACTCCACTTGATATATCCGTATACCCATTAATTATGTATTTGAAGGCTCTCCCATTGATTTGAGTTGCATTTTACGTACATCATTTGCCCTTTGCAGGATAATTTCCAATTGCCTTCTCCTTTTTTTTTCAGACCAAAAATCCTATCCAAGAATCTTTACTAGGATCATCTCCAGTATCCACCGTAGTTCAAATGTCCGGCAGCGGTACCAAAACGATGGTGATGCCTCAGAAAAAATCATCTAAAGAAAAATGTCTTTTTGCATTAGTTTTAGCACTATTTATCTTCTGTGGGGTGCTCTTGCTTATGCTTTTTAGTACTAAAGGACAAGGATGCCATGGTAAGTACTCAATTTGTTTAAAATTGGAACTTGCTAACTCTAAGAAAGCCGGCCGGAGGAATAATCCCTGTGCTGTATCTACGAAAGACGGATCTATTATAGTAATGAGTAATGAGAAATTTTCGACTTTCCGACAAGGCATCATAAAATTGGTCATTTGGTTTGATTTATAAATATAAGTTTTATGAGTAGGTATCATCTGCAAAGCTATATACCTAAATCTAAATAAATCCGGCTTCTATATTGTCACGAATTCCGTGGGTCCACTAAAACTGTACTAGCAACAACAAACTGTTATTGAACTAAGTAATTGATTTACAAAATTCACGCTTTTACCTAACTTTCTACAACAATACATTATTCAGAAAGCTTATAAACTAAGCGCTTTGTATACGAAATCATTCAATCGAGACATCTCTAGAATTCGATAATAGAAACGAATTCGTGAATATTCGCGCTCGGGTAGTTACAATGGCGTCGGCTTCTCCGCACCAATAGCTGAGTTCGGTATTTGCTTCGCAGACGCGACGGATTTTTGGTAACGTGATCACAGATTAGCCTGAGCTGAGGGTCCTAAAGTTATTAGGTTGTCTGGTAATGGGTAACTTGATGACGTCATGTGGGGTCCCTTATGGAGATTTGCATTATGTTGAGGCACCCCAGATGACGTCATAAAAGTTATCATGCAACCTACCTCTCTCAAACAACCTTGAGCCTGACCAAATTGCAATTAACGCACCGGCGCACGACTTTTTTGCTTGCTGTTTTTCGTTCTTTTGATGTTTTGAAACGTTTCTTTTCCATTGTCTACGGCTATGTCTATCACTGACAATTTTGATAGTCATCAAATGATTCTTGATGATGACGACGGCGAGAAGAAGATGCTGCGGCCCTTCTGCAGAAGCAATCGTGCCACGTTTTTCTAACATGCGGTTCAAGAAGCACTTTCGAATGGTTCTAGCAACTTTTAAAGATTTTTAACAAAACTTTCATGATCTGAGCAGCAAAAATGTGGAATATTGATTGGAAATTCGGCAATGAAGTTAGAAACTCAATTTCGGGCATTTTTGCAGATGAGCGCCTGATTAGTACTCGAAATTAAAGTTTTGTACAGAAAATAAACACTATAAGACTACGACATATAACCTCACAATCGCAGATTAATCGGTCTAAATACTCCGAGCAAACAGATTTACGTCCGACTGGTCTTGCGGAATTACCAAACGGTTTATATTTACCTCCCCTAGATCTAGATGCAATAAACGAACGATTCAACATCTAGTTTTCCAGGGCCTCAAAAAATAAATTACCTACCCTTTATTTAAAAAAAGAAAAAAAACATTTTCCTATATAAATTCCGACATTGACCTTGTATCTTTTACACTTCCATGTCATGCCATAAAAGAAGGTATATTTTTTTATATGCCACACATTTGTATTTGAACCAGAGCGGGGTGAATATTTTTATGGGGAGCTCGTAAAATATTTACAATTTCCCACTACATAAAATCGTTCGTTATATTCCACACACATGTATATATGCCACGTGAAATAATGTATTTTCGCAATACCTATTAAATTAAAAATATATATACCGGGTTACCACGAGATTACTTACCAAGCTCTACAGGCATGGAAATCGTTAGCGATTTTGAAATTTCGGGGATGTATATTATTGATACCGATGCAGAATCGCTTCCGGTTAGACCGGAAGTGCCATCAACTTCTTTATTTCGCATGTATCACCCGCTATACCTTTTATAATTTTTGGATTATACGAGAAATTCTAAGCTTATTTTGTGTATAATATACTATACCATTTGTAAGGTACCTATTTTTAACTTCATTTATAGCCATTTCCACCACACTGTAACTAAGCTTTAATTAACTTTGAAGCCCCAAAAAGTTAAGGGACACTCAAATATAATTTCGTTCCACCATAGTTTTTGAGTGCAAACTTGGATGCACTAAAGTGCCCTACTACAAAAGTTTCACTTCCGGTTGAATCAGAAGTTTCCAGTCGATCTACTTTTGAAGTTATGTTACTGCAATATTTTTAATGGTAGCCAATACTAATAACTGAAAATTCGTGTTCTACGAGCAAGTTGAAATAATTTTTGTATACATTTTCCCATACTGTACTGTTTTTGAGATATTTAGCCCTTTTTATAATAGGCAATTCAATCCCTTATTCATTTTCCAAATGATTTTGTTCCATAGGAGTTTGCGATAAAATATTCCGTCGTCAGCAAATATTTCATTCTTGAAAATTTTAGTGTTTTTCGGATGTACGCGGGGATGATCAATAGATAAATAAGGAATACGGGCGTAAGGAAAAGTTTACCTATTTAACGCCCTAGGAGGTTGAGAGTTCGTATTCAAACTAAAGGTCAACCAACTTTAGCAAAGTCGCAATTTATAAAACTGGCCTCTTTCTTTGGAGCTGTACGTCCCGAACAGCTTTCCTTAGTTGCATCCAACTCGGTGTTTTCTTGTTTTAGTATGGGGCCAGCCAGTCTTTCTACGTGAAGTACCTCTGGCTTTGCCTTCGGCAGAAGTCGAATTCTGCAGGTACACTCGTTGAACTTCTGGAGAATCCTCTATACAGGGTGTCCACTTAGTGCGATATCGGACATCTCCTTACAGGATGATGCAAGAAAAAAAAGTCAAATTACAAAGTTCTTTGATACTCTAAGGTGCATTATGCATTAGTTAAAAAAAGAAGGAGATATCGTCCGATATCGCACTAAGTGGACACCCTTTATAATCCTTCTCACATAGTCTCGGTAATTTCAGACTTAATGCCAGGGCTGGCGTTGCCTTTACTAAAAGGGTTCTATTATCAAGTATCATCTCTTTATTCTGCTACTTCTCACACGTTGTCTATTTGTGGCGAAATCATGAATCACTTTGAGTATTGAGTATGTTCTGGAGATAAGTTCCTACGGCTATACGGGTTCATCTTAATCGGCTTTCAGTCTACCAGACAGTAGATCTACGGGAAGTCTTATTCCTCTACCAACCAATCAACAGCATTGATGATTTATAAGCTAATGGATTCATGCTGAGAGCTTTCATAAGCCAGAAGAAAAATATTCACCAGTTTATCCATCTCGCTGGTGCTCATCCACAAACATGGGAGAGGTATCGATTGATGCCCGAGTGTACCTCTCGAGCATTTCGTCGAATAGTGGATAAAGTGGCGTGATTTTTTTCTCCTGTTCCATTTGCTTTCTTTATAACTATTGTCCGCAGGTCTTAAGAGCATATTATAGGAATAAATTATACACGGGAGAAATCAGTTTTGTAATAAATACACGAAATAATGATACTATCATGGATTACGAGTCCACTAAAATTCATTTTACAAACGTAACAACTTTCATTGAACTATAATAAAATTCTCATATTAAAGGCGCACTAATTAGACGTAAACATCTGGGTTCCAATAATTCTGGCCGGCTTGTCGATGCAATTTCGTAATATCATCGATTATAATACATTTATCAGAATACAATCAGTACACATTATGTACTACACAAACAATATAAAGTTTAATACGATATAGATGTTTTAAAATTAATGTTGAACAATATAATTGGATATTCTATTTATGGAATCGTCCGGGCCGCAATTCGTTTTGTGAAATTCAAATCGAAATATGTTTCTCTAAAGGCGCATGGAAAAATTTACTTCATACAAAAGGAATCGTGAATTACCTAGAGTATTGAGGAAATGTTACCTATTTGCTTTCAACCCAGACAATATAATTTACGTCACACCAAATTACTGTCCTATAATGGAACCGTTGACTTCAAAACAGCGGGTAAGCAAATGCGCTTGATGATATTTCAGCTATGCCCATTCAAAAGAACAAAATATGAGATAAGCAATATTGTGTCACTCATTTATACAGGGTGTCCCAGGGAAAACAGTCCACCACGATTTTTTCAATTTGGAATGAAAATCTGGAAAAACGCTCGGACACGCCAATTTTTGAATTGAGGGGGAAATATTTTTCAGTTTTTTACATCCCCGTAGCTTCAACCCCCTAGCTAGGGGGAGAACAACCCCTCAAATTTGAATAGGAGGTAGGGGTCGTGTCATACCTTTTTCTAAAGGTCTCATCGAGTTCTTCATGACCCTAGAATTTAAGGGAGGTAAGTATCGCTTTTAATTCCACTAAAACAATAGTCTTTTTCCAAGATTTTGACAAGCTGTCATTTCGTTACAGATAAAAATAATAGGACGAAATTCTAGGGCCATAAAGAACTCGATGAGACGTTTAAAAAGCGGTATGACACGACTCCTATCCCCTATTCAAATTTAGGGGGTTAAAACTACGGGGATGAAAAAAACTGAAAAATATAGTTCCCCCTCAAAACAAAAATCGACGTGTCCGAGCCTTTTTCCAGATTTTCATTCCAAATTCAATAAACCGGTGTAGACTGTTTTCCCTGTGACATTATAGCTGAACAACATTAATTACGGAGTAATGGGTCAATGTGACAATTTCATCCTTCAAAACTTCCAGAACTCAGTGTTGAAACTTTAAAGGGTGCAATAATCAGTGTGGATTTTTGGGACATAAAACGATTTAAAAAAAAAATTAAATGAAGGTCCAAATTGTGCAAATGAGAGTCTTGGCACACGAAATTGGAATTTTTGTTTTGTGAAGATTTATCGATAAATTATCCTGGAAGCCCCAATTCGCTATATAATTAAGTCAAAGTGACTTATTTATAGTTTTCCTATATCTTCCTGAAATTACTTGATTATCGTCATAAATATATTTATTATAGGAATATCGAGTTGAGGGAGACAGCCAGAAAGTTAATATACTAAGTTATCGATCCGGCTTTAATAGAGCGGAAAATGCCGCCGACACATTAATATTGATACACACAAAACACACACATAACAGATTGGCTCGAATTAAGATGATCACAAACACATATGGCCCGACGCATATCCATATAACGTTCGTACGTGTTCATATC